TAAACGCTAATTTTCATATAGCAACTGTAGTTATAATTTGACATTCGTTTAGAAGTTGTCACCTGCGGCGATCAGCTACCACTACGTTGACGGTGTGCTCACGTGCCCTCTGTGCACACGAGTGGAGCAGTGAATGCAATTGCCGTGGCCGTAGTAATTAAGAACAGCGCATTCTATGGCAGCCCTGCAAACTGTCGTGAGCCTAACTTCCCTCCACCCCTTGACTATAGGCACAAAAGCAATTTCAAAACTGCACGTGAACAGAACGAAGTTGTTGCTTTATTCTGGGTTAAAGCCCACGCGAGGTTGGAGGAAAACGAATTGGCTGACGCAAGCCAGCAGGTCAAGGACGTTCCCCAAAAGTCAAAACAGATGCCTAGCTATTAGACTCCGTGAGGCTACGCTGGTTGCATAGGACAGGATATCTTCTTTTTCTTAAGGTGCCTCTCCAACCAGTGAAGGTTGGCAGTCAGCTTAGCATATTTATCTATTCCTGGCCAGGCTGAATAGTTGGGCGGCACTCACTAGTCCCAGTCCCAGTCCACTCTCGTATGTTCTCAGCCACGATTTTTTCCTACGACCAACTTTCCTTTTACCAGGGACTTTTCCCATCATTATCAGTTGCAGAAGCTCGTACCTGTCATGTCTAATTACATGACCCAGGTATGCAAATTTTCTCTGTTTGATGGTCTGCAAAAGTTTACGCTTCTGTCGAACTAGTTGCAGAACTTCGTCATTGGTTTGTCATTCGTCTGAGTCCATAATAAGTGCAACATTCTTCTGTAGGCCCACATTTCAAATGTTTCAATACGTTTCCTGAGATGCTCTTTTATTGTCAAGGCCGCACATCCGTATAGAAGTATTGGCCAGATGTAACACTGAATAAGCCATATCAGTTAGCCATATGCCAAAATATTTGTTACTATTTGTACTGATATACTAGGCTGGAGACCACAATTTTTAGAGATAACCGTGAAATTAGTTTTCTTGTGACCGCGTATAGAGTGGTCCGTAAATACGAGTGGGTTCTCGGCGTACTTGAACCGGTTCAAGTGCAAAGAGAGCCCACCGTGTCTCTGCGCACCCGATGTCAACGAGATAACCCCCACATTCTGATCGTTTGCCTCATTCACGCAATAGATCGATAATATTGAACAAGAGATACAATCCAAGATTACGGCCGAAAACATTGGAAAAATTATGATGGGGAAATGCAGGAACTGTTTCCTTGACCATTGTGTGTAATTATGTAGCAACAAAAGTAATAATAAGAAACAAAACAGAAATTTTAATTATGCTGCAAAAATATATGTGTATATATTTAAGCAATATAAAAGTATATAAGAGTTAGGTAATAAATTGTAGAAAATAGATTAAGGAACAGCTAAAACCTGTATGTAAACACTGTTAGAAACTAAATATTTGTATTTACGTAGAACTTGCCTTATACGTTTAATTGTAATTTGTAAAACCTTGTAAACCACCTCTATAACCTAGTAATATAGAACAGATGTAGAAACTCGTTAGGTGGAATTTGGCAAACACTCCAGGTGTCTGACGGAACTACACTCGATATACATAGGTGCAAATAGAATAAATATAGTATAAACTAACTATATCCGCTGACTAAGCACTCCGACCACCATGACGGCGGAAAGTGGCGCATATACAAACAAAAACAGGTAAGGCGGAAATATTTCCGAGGATAAACTCTTTCACAAGGAGCTCCACCGTTACTAGGTGGACTTTAGAGTCGGCTTAGCGCTGGCAACTGCTAGTTGTGCAATGCGCAACCAGAAGTATTTTTTTGTAAAGACTATACTTCTTTTTATTTAACTTTTTTTTTCTCACTCAATGCATTGTTAATAATTGTTTTTCAATTCAATTACGACATGTGTTCCGTTACGTAATGACACGACCGATCCTGAGCGCAGCGAGTTACTCGTACCTCTGTGTGCACTCTTGCAGTGTTCGCAAGACGAAATACGCATATTGCTGATTATGTTTGTTCTGTTCCGTTGTTCCTGTGCACGAGTTCTTTGTGTTGTATGTGTTATGTCTATATGTCTGTGGCATTATCTATTCATAACTTGAAATTGTTTATCATAGACTACATACATACTTTTATTTCTTCCGTGTTGTTTACTGTGTATCAGATTGTCTGTTTACCTGCTTTTTGTTTTATTTAATGTGTATTTAGGGGACTATGGGTTTATTTATAAGTTAATTTTAAAATATGTATTTTTTTATATGTGTGTAACTGTTTGTCCCTCAATAAATAAGAAAAGAAAAAAAAGAAAAAAGTAAGCGTGCCTACGGCTGAAATATCTGGAAAATAGGGATGATGCTGTACGTGCACCCGGGGCGTCTGACCCGAGGCACTAGCCTCTCGAGAACCGGATGAAGTCAAGTGACGAAGGTCTGTGACAACCCAGTACACTAGCTGATCTGGGGTGTGAACCTGAATTTATAAAGTTCCTGTGCGCGCACAAGTTATAGTGCCCTTCTCGTATACCATAAAGGTCGGTAGGGAGGGTCACCATAATCAAAAATAATGTTGAAAGATATGGGGCCGCTACTAGGTTGATAAATGGGTTAATACCGGGCACTTTGGATAAAAAGGCGGGCAGATTGGGTTTTAATCGGAATTGTTATTAACCGATTTCTGTCTATCTGTTGGTCAATCACAATTAATAATTGGCGTTAAGAAGGCAGATTCCAATCATACTATAACTACGTGCACTGGCATGCAAAACTCAAATTGGCTACATTTATCTGATACGCGGAATTATCCAATGCTAATTACGCATAATTCCACTGTCCCCGATCTTTTCTGTCCTCTACGGTCCCCGACGATATCACAAAGATTTTATAAAATCTATTATATGACCTGTCAGTAGAAAAAGTAAACATTTGCATCAGTATTCTTCTTAGACTATGGAAGGTATTCTTCAAACTGACATGTACATCGAAACTGACAGTAATCCAATAGTGGCCGCCATTATGGAAATAATGTAAAGTTCAAAATTTCAAAACAAGCATCAATCCAAAAATGTAACATAATAGTAACTTTAGGAAAACCTTTTATAGTTAAATGTTTCCGCATTCAAAGAGATTATTTGAGTAAATTTTAATGTTATTATTTAAATACGCAAAACCGGTATATTATCAAAATATACCATAACCATTAACGAACCTTGGCTACGTAGTTCTAGTACAAAATGCCTTGTCCTACAAAGTCAAAAGGTACGCTATTTACCTTTTCAATTTCTATTGCATACCTACCTACGTAATGTAGTTGCAGATGCACCTATCTTAATTATTTTTTTCGTTTTTCAAAGCGAATTCACTGAAAAGAAGTTACCGTCGCAAAAGTACCAAAGACACGCAAAGAAAGAAAATGGTAAAGACTAGCAGTAAGAGTATGCGACCTGGGCTCCGTTACGAAGGTCTGTATACGATGTTTTGAATACACGTTCCAACAGACTACTTACAGTCTAAAATCCAATTGGTTACTCTTTCAGTTACTTACTAGTTAGTCACTAACTAAAACGTAGCTAAGTGAGAAATGGTCAAATATCCGTTTCAAACAGAAAAAGATGAAGAAAATTATCTTTTAAAAACAGTTAAAATTAGTTGACGTGTTGGAATTATCGGAACTTACCCTAACGATGCATAGCTAAAATATTATTAAACAATTCCAATATTCTAAAACTGGGCTATGGTTTTGTATGACATCTCAAAAAAATATTTTGTCAGTTAGCCCCTTTTTGGTTAGCGGAATTAAAAATTTTCAATTCAAGATTCTTTACTGAGTAAAATCCAACAGGTTACTCTTTGAGTAACTTTCAATGTACTTACTACTGACTGACTAATATTTTTTGTGGTAAATACGGCCTAACAGACACGGCTGGATACAGTATCTCTTACTTGCTTCAAAACGTTTATAAGATACTTACGAACATTACACTTACATAGTAACTATTAAGTATTCTGTGACTACACATACAAAGAGAATGCGCCCGGGGTTTAACCCGGGTTACATCATCATTGGCTTACACGCATCCACTGCTGAACATAAGCCTCCCCTTGAGCACGCCAACTCTTCCGGTCTTATGTCGCCCGCATCCAGCCGCTGCCGGCTACCTTTCTCAGGTCGTCAGCCCATCTTGCCGCAGGGCGTCTCACGCTACGTTTTCCATTCCAGAACAAGTCTGCTCCATCAGCGATCGACCCTCCTGCATACTGCCACTTTAGCTTACTGATTTTGCGAGCTATGTCGATCACTTTAATTCTCTAATGTATGACCTCGTTAGGAATTCGCACCATCGCACGCTGAGCGACCTTGTATTTGTGGATGAGACCTGTTGTTAATGTCCATGTCTCGGCTACGTAATGCTTTAGTTTTTAGGGTTTGTTTGATTGACCACTTGAAGATTGCTTCCCAAATGCTGTCCAGCCTAAACGAAAATCTCTTTTTTGTTTTTAATTCGTTGTAAATCGAGAGTTCAAGTTTAATGATATTATTACAAAATGTTTAACGCTTTCTTGTCTGGACGATTCTATTTGCCTTTTTATTGAAACGTTTCGCTTTCAACGCTTTGTATCGATTTATTTCAATGATATTGATATTCAGATATAAGAAACATCGTTAGATCGTATGTACTTGAATCGACCTTCATAAAAATAGAATCGTTAATATGCATCTTTAATAGTAAGAATTCACAGGATTGAGAGGTGAGTATAGTGTGGAGATGCCCCTTTTTGTCTAAAATTTTTTATAAAGAAATTTATGATAATCCGATTTCCGCTCACGATTTTGAGCAGAAAAGTTAAAACCCAGCGCTTTGTGTAAAAACCCGATTAAAGCATTGGGTTTTAACTCACTGCCCATCACTCATACATATCATTATTTACTCTTGACTTGACTCTAGAACCCGTTCAATAACACTATTTTTTGGTGTCAACAGAAACATCTAACGGAATGATTTCAAATCCGAAATTTATAAAAAATCTAAAGACACGTGCATCTAAGAAGAGAACAAAGTGTAATACAACGCCAATTTCTAACCATAATAAGGTAGTATATACTATAATAAATACTATAAAAAGTATAGTATGTCGTAAATAAAATATGCGCAGTTTGCGTGTATTTTTAATTTTTGAAATTACATTGAAAGACATAATACATTACGAATGCTGTGGACAAGAGCTGCGTTAGAGCGGTACAAACGGCGACTTTTAGTAACAATGCAATCGCGATGCAGTCGCTAATTGTGTACCTACACACACGCACGATTGTAAACAGCAATGCAAGCGCGCAACTACATCGATACAATAGCGCGTTTGTATCGATGCAGTCGCGGGTTTGTTGCGATGCACACGAGCAATGCGGTGTTGCAACGTAATGCCGCTTACTTACGCACCGCAGTACCCCTCCCCGCTTCGTCTCCTGGCACCTTGTCCATTGCCGTTCAACGTCACATATGACATGTCGTACTAATTTATATGTAGTACAACACAGCCTCAACGCTCAGGCGTCAGAACGTATCATGTGGCATTGCTCTAACTATGAATTAATAAATACAATTTTTTCAAATAATAATGATGACATTAATAGTTTAAGCACACTTCGTTATGATTTTATAATTGCAGAATATTGTTCGCAAGCAAGTGAGGAGAACAGTGAAGAAGAAGAAAAACGAGGAGCCCGTTAGACACGAATTACCTAAGAAAATATATAAAAAGACCAACAATAAAAAGGAAACTCAAAAGGAAAAACATGCCAGCAGAAATAATAAAACAAGAAAAAGTACAAGTTTGGGTTCAAGTTCTCCCAAATTTGTTAGAGACCTAAAATATTTGTTTTCGACAAGTTTAATGAAATCTCAATATTGTAATACTATTAATGATATCGAGCAATTGCATTTAACAAAAAGTTTAATTGAAACTATTTCGTATCCGAAATTTGTTTTTGATGACATAGAACAAGATTCCAATAGCTGTCATGGAAAAGAAAACAACAATAAATTGTATAAGAATGAAATGGATGTACTACTATCACAGTGGACCGACAATAAAGGTATGGGTGGCATTGACTTACAAATAAATGGACGACGGGTCTAATACAAAAACCACGAAAAAAATGTCTCAAGTCAACCTATTTAATCGTAGTGACATGTCAAGGAATATGAAAAAGCTAAAACGTTGAATTTAAATTGTAATGTCATCGCAGTACTGTCTAATTTTGCTTGCTTTGCTGTCAGTCGAACTAACGAAGACTAGAGCGTGAATGATGCTCTGTATACGATTTTAACGCCCTGTAAGTTCGGACACTTTTTAGCGCGGACCCGACGTCCATATAATTGTAAGTCAATGATGGGTGGTGAAAAAGTGTCATGAATTGAAATGTCGCAATCTCTGGCAAGTTTTGTTTATTTTATTTATTTATTTATGATAACTTGTTACATTATTAATTCATAATCTTAAACTTAACAGTATTTTATAAACTAAAGTAAGTTTTTCTAAATACCGACGATTAATCGCTAAGCGGTTTTAACAATAACAAAAAGAAAAATGATGAATGTATGTTGTGTTTGTGTGAGTGAATGGTATGATGTCACGTGCGATCATGATATACTAATCCTATGCGTGCGACCTGCGTAATGATAGTGTCGTTGCAATGTGACTTGTATAATGTCTTAGTGTGCGTTAGTTGTCAGGTAAGTTTGTGGAATCGAAAGATGTGTGATAAAGCGTGTTTTATTTTAAGTTTGGACTTTCTGTAGTGTCATTGAATTTTTTTTTTTCTTATTTAAGAAGTGTTCCTTTAATTTGTACTTAATGTTTCTTTCATTAATTTCCTCCTTTATGTTATTCCAGCTACTGGACGATTAACATTTGAATATCGTCGATAAACAGATAATTGAAAATTTATTAAAATAAGTCTTACCGCGGATATGAAATACTCCTACTTTAAATCGCAAAGATATGAAGGGCACTGTCACTGCGCCCGTCACCCTGAGACATAAGTTGATAAGTCCCATGTGCTTGTGATTTCACCAGCATCCTTACCCTTCAAAACCGGAACGCAGTAGTGCTGAGATTACTGCTAGGCGGCAGAAATAGGTAAAGTGTTTTACAGTACTTTCCTGGACGAACTCTTTCACAAGGAGCTCTACAGCTACTAAGTCTTAGTCTTATACTAACTCTTAATTATACGAGATATGTAGCTTTTCTCCCAATCTTGGATTACAACATTGTACTAAATAAAATTCGTCTTCTAGATACAACCAGTGAATTATACTCGAGTCACAGCAAACCTAAAACTTGTCCTGAAACTTGGCGTCTTAATACGAATGATTTGATAGAAGAACGTGTTCACTCATCACTAGATTATTGCTGTGCGAAAAGTAGCAAAACAAGATACTGCAAGACGGAAACAGAAAAAAATGCAAAGGCTTATCCGGATAATGAGAAGAATGTAAATGCTATCTCACACACTAAGCTCATGTATAAATTAAACATAGAATTCGATAAACTGAAAAATGACAAATGTTCTACTATAGATTTGTTTCCTAACTCAGACAGTATAAAAACCAGCCTCGATGCCAACAATGACCATTCTGATGTCAATGTCTATAACGATGATATATTTATACCAACAAAGGAAGAAATGAAAAATGAATTCGTTAAAGGTTGCGACTTCGTTTTTCATACATTTAGAGACAAAGTGTTTGAGACAGTCTATTCTGACCATTTAGCGTCTGTTCATTATTTAAAACGAATACTTCATGGCTAACACGTATTACGATATAGCGAACGTCCTGGTAAGTACAGACTATTTCTACTGTTATGAGTATTACCTAATCATTAATTAAATTTTCATAAATTTAGTGTGACACTAATGTAAGAATGTTAATTTCTTTAAATTGCTCTCCCAAAGATACTTTGGAGCTAAGATTGTAAATTCAAATTCATACTTTATTTCGGATTCTTCATCCATATTGGTTAGAATAGCAAAGAAAAACTTACACAGTACTGTTAGTAATAACAAACTTGTAAATATGTGCTGGGTTTAGGGTACACATGAAGCTTGGTCCAGTGTTCAAAAAATTAACCCTGGACCCTGCCAGCGATAATAATCACGAAGCGGTTACCACTGCCATGCATTCTCATCAAGCTCTCTTTCTCATGAAGGCTGCAAATCCGTCGACATGAGCATCGGCGAATATTCCTGACGCGCTACAGAATCGCGGCAGCCGCAACAACATCCAGGATATATTATTGTATACAACTCTTAGAGAGTTGAGAGCTTTCTGAGTGTAGTTGCACATAGGCTGCAAGTATAAAAGGTCTGGCAGTAAGCTTTAAAAATAGATACCTTCATGTTGTCAGTACACCTTGCAAGCCTATGGGCCAACATGTCCCTTCGCACGGCTAATGCCCTACGCTCTCTCTTAATATCAGTGTTATCCTCACCCAACGCAATTAAAGCTTTTGCTACCCTCTTTGAACACAAGCAACTCGCTTCTAGCCGCATTGTACTATAACAGGAAACGTAGACTTGGGCTTGCGTGGAGGTACTTTTAAACATAAAACTGGGATATTTCCATGAATAAATATTTATTTCATCTTTACTGATCAAAGCCTCGTCCAGAACAACCGAGATGTTTTTTTTTACATCTTATTTTTTTGATACCATTCTAAATACAAACCTATATTAATTCACCCAGTATTTCTACTCTTAGAGTAGAACTTACACTAGATCCCTCTTCCTCACAACTGAAGGGGTGAACATCCCTAGCTAGTGCCCTACCTATGATAGACAACTTACATATGTGATCAGCCTTTACTACACGCTAGCCACACACTGCTCGGAAGCTATCACCTACTAACAAACAAAACTAACGAGAAGGCTGTGGCTTTAATCTGCCAAAAGCCTATCTAAAAGGACGGACTATGACCACATCCTAATCAAACAATTAAAATATAATTACTCATTAGCTTTTCTAGCCCCATCTAAACCCTAACTCTTTGTTTCAGCTAAAATCGTAGCTATTTAGGTACCCCATCTAAGCCCCAACTCTTTATTTTAGCTAAAATCCTAGCTTGGCTGAATGCTACTAATATTCGTTAGACATCAATAAACAATCTTCAACGTGCACGCTGCTACGACGACTACACAGGCTTGAGCGCCCATGGGGCGACCTTTGGGGAATATCAATACTGATCTTCCAGCTGTCTCCGTCCTCGTCCTGCAGCTATCCACGTTCCATCAGATTTTCTCAATTTCTTAAAACAAATAAAAAACACCCAAATTATCCTAACAACAACATTTCCTAACAACAACATCATAAATATGATATGATATATCATATTGAGGATTCGTAATAATTAAACAGATATATTTTCCCTTGAATGCAGACAGTCCTTGTTCATCTGGAGGAATGATCAACAACTATGCATATACACAGGATAATATATCCATAAAATCAAAAATAAAAATAAAATAAGTCATATCCATCCAAGTTGGTAGCCCATCTTCTCCTCCCGTCCTTCTACGTCTGCATTCGCCGGAAAAAAAAACTTCCATCAAAATAATCGGCAAGATACACTGTCATCATGGCTCCATATGAAAAACAAACACAAAAGATTAACAAACATTTAACAAATAAACACGAATATCTTATCAGCCTTTAGAAATAGGACATTTGTTAAACTATCAACAGAAGAATCTCTTCATCCTATTTACAAGCACCATATCCTGCCTACCAGATCTACTCCTATTTACACCTATTCTCCTGACAATATAGTTAACCCTACTCAACCGATCTACTACACTATACGGCCCTTTAAACAATCTCGCTATCTTTACACTTCTGTCGGAAATCCTCCTAGGACAATATATCATTACCAAGTCTCCCGGTCGATACACAATTACTTTTGCTTTCTTATCATAATTGCGCTTTAGTTTTATCTGCTCCCTCACTATTCGTTCCTTAACCACATCGATCAAAGCTGCTTGTTTTAAAAAACTTATCATGCATTTTCTCCTCAATATTGACACAATTAATTCTCAATTCCATATCTGACGCACATAAGGATTCTCTACCGAACAATACCATATAAGGTGACCCGGGGTGTCACAAAAATAAAACTTTCTTCTCGTGTCACTGGGCGCTAAACCATGGCTCTCAAATTGCTAAGCAATTTCGATAACTTAACTAAGTTTAAATAACTATTTATATCGGGTCCACAAATAACTATTTGTGGACCCGATTGTAATTTAGCATCTAAAATTATACCTAAAAATACAAATGTATCTACAAGGTTTATTTGAGACATTTGTGATCGTAGCACATGTGAATTTCTGTTTATTTCTCATTAAGGAACAGGTTATTAACTACCAACTACAAACCAATGTACTACCTTAGATCAGGATCAGCACAAATGCCGCGATCGTTAAACACGACGCTAGTATTCTGCCAAGACGTTGTTAGGAGAGATGCTGTAATCCATTCATTCATCCATCCATCCATCCATCCGTCCGTCCGTCCGTCCGTCACTCCATCCATCCCTCCATTCATCCATCCCTCCATCCCTCCATCCCTCCATCC